AGCAGTGTTCTAGTCCACTGTCTTGCCTCCAATTCTGGAGCTATTTTGGGTGGTTTTTACACATCACCGCACTGTGTCCAAAGAGACTTACCCTTAGTAATGTGGACGTCAGGGTAAAAGTGGCCAAACCTCAGCTAGCAGTCTGTGCAGATCAGATGTGTGTGTGCATGTGAGATTGCCTTGCAAAAGCATCACTGCATGCCCAGGCTTTCTCCTTTGGGAAGAGCAGGTACAAGCCATGCTGGGAGCAGGCTGTCAGAATTGCTTTACCAATGAGGTGCCATGGTAAACCCAGATTTCTCTGTTACCTGCCTCTGGGGAACATGAAGAGCTAACAGCAAGTTCATGTGGTAGCACAAGCCACTGAAATGTTCTCCTAGGACAAAACAGCCTCCAGCTACAATGCTAAGGATACTGACATTCAGTTTTATGCATTTCTGCTGGCTCAGAGGTCCCCGCTGTCTCTAACAGCTGTAGCTTGCTATAATCTATAAGCCAGTACTATAAATATTACCTACTGTTTAGATTGCTCTTTGTCCATAGACCTCAAAGTGCTCGGAGCAAGGTGGATTCCTTATTGACATGGAGAACACCAAGGTTAAGTGATTTGCCCAAAGTAACATAGGAAATCTATGGCAAAACCAGAAAAAAGAAATTACTTTCCCCTCACCCTTTAATGTATCCCTGTCACTGAGCGGCATCCTGAGCTCTGCTCAAGGAGAAGCCAGAGTGGATTGTGGCCATCTGTATGTACATAAACACTCTTAATTAATCTGATAATAGCAGAATAGATCAGCTTCCTATAGAGATTTTTGTATCTATGTATCTATCTGTTGGTGGGGGTGTGTTTGTGAGTATTAACTTTTCTCACAGCACAGGGCTCAGACTTTTAAGTAAGAGCTTCTGCACCACGGAGCATCTCAAGGGGAAAGATTGTGCTTCAGGCAGTCACCATCCCTGGAGGTGTTAAATAATGTGTGGATGTGGCACTTCAGCACATTGGTGTTGGTTTGATGGTTGCATTTGATGACTTTAGAGTCCTCTCCAACCTTAATGATTCTGTGGGAATGCCATTTGGCAAACAAAGGGGGCTAAATTCTGTTCCCCATCATAAAAGCAGTGATGGTGTTTAGATGCTGCACACATATTTTGCAGCTGCAGCTCTCACTGGCAATCTCTTAAGCCTGATGAGGACCCGGACAGATAACAATCAGTTTCCTGTGAGTGTTATTAATTACTTCTTCTTCTTTTTTTTTGTGCAGTTGCCTTCTTATGTTCATTTTTTAGCCTCTTTTCATGCAAGTAGCTCCACAGATAGACTGATACAGGCATGTTAACTACAGAAATTATGTCTGATGCAGTTTGGCATTTTATAGATACTTCATGCATAAACAGAGTGAGTCAGAATGTGATGGCCCACTGGCAATCTCTTAAGCCTGATGAGGACCCAGACAGATAACAATCAGTCTCCTGTGAGTGTTATTAATTACTTCTTCTTTTTTTTTGTGCAGTTGCCTCCTTATGTTCATGTTTGAGCCTCTTTTCATGCAAGTAGCTCCACTGATAGACTGATACAGGCATGTTATCTACAGAAATTGTGTCTGATGCAGTTTGGCATTTTTTAGATACTTCACGCATAAACAGAGTGAGTCAGAATGTGATGGCTCTACAAATTGGGTAAGCTGGTTCTTTACTTCATTTTAAAGGCTTCCCCTTCAGCAGTCTTAAATACTTATGTGGTGGTTTACTGAGCTGTATGAAGACACCAGTGAATTCAAAGTCCGAGCAATGCACCTGGATGGGTTTGGAACAGGAGTTATACAGAGGTAAGTGACTTGAAAAACCAGCATAGGTATCAAATCAATGTGCAGCCTGTACTAAGTAACTCTAGAAACTGCCTTCACACCTGGTGTTGAAAATTAATGAGATGTAAATGTAGTGAGCACACTGGAGACACTTTGGTTCACCTCTGTGTGCGTTCAGCTTCTCCTAGACTGCCTGGGCTCTGTGGGGTGGCTGCTTTGTGGAGGACCCTTAGTGAGAGCTGAAGGACTCATGTACTCAACCTTAGAAGAGTCTTTAACATGTGTCACTTAGGAGAGAATGTTCGTTGGACTCAGGTATGTGTTCATCAAACAAAGTCCGCTAAGGATCAGTGAGGAATTACCTCAGGCAAGGACCTATTATTGCCAAGTATTATGTTTAGAAAATGCCTCAAGCCTTTAAGAAAAAATCTTGGAGATTAATTTATTCAGTCCTTGAAAGCCCAGGAACTCTGTCACATATTTCTGTATGTTTATTATCACACCATATCCTATCCACACAGTGTTGAAGCACTGCAGCAACACATCTTACTGCCTCCAGCACAATGCCTGCCATAGAAAATGAGTTCTATATTTCTACCAGCCCACACTATCAGGAGTACACAAGATATTGTAGTTTGAAGTAGGAGGAGCTTGTATCCTGCAGGAGACTGACATGGTGCCAACCTGAGCTCCACACCCAGGGACAGCAGTACTAACTTTTCTTCACTGCCACATCTGGCCCC